TTGTTTTCCTGTTTTCTTACTTGCTGAAGGTAATGACTGAAAAGTAGTTTGACCAATAACATGCAGGCATTGTACATAATCAAACAATCGTGACACGTGATCTACAGAGAGTGGTCAAAGCGATTAAAATACGTGTACATATTAGGTGTGTTCAACTAGAAGTGGCGATGCGCAGACTGATCGGTGTATGACATCAAAGTACCATGAGAGCGATTCAAAAGCATAAGGAGATATCTGCTCTCTATAGCTTTCACGGTACTTTGATATCATACACTGATCGGTCTGTGCAGCGCTGCTTCAAGTCAAACACTGGATGATTAAGCAATACAGAAATCCTTGCCAGGTTGTGTCTGGGAAAAAGAGGATGGTCACCGTATTTACTGGTTGCACACCGGTCTGTTATTGTGGGGACACTTCCACGCCATAAAAAAAAATGTGATTGGTTGCTTTACCTGTCAGTCATATGGCCTTTTGGGTGGTCCCATTCTAAGCGCTCATGGTTCCCAGGCCTTCTGCCATCAGTCTAAAGGTCTGGCTATGCGAAACTATCAGTCAACCAACCAATCCAACCCAACAAACTACCAAATAACCAACAAACTTACCAATCAATCAATTATCAGTCAGTCAGTGTACCAGTCAGCCCAGTAGTATTGTGATTGTTTTATCAACCAAGCAACCAGCCATTCAACCAATCAATTAATGAGTCTGTCTATCATTCAACCTACTGATTGTTCTATCAACCAACCAATTATTCAGTCAAGGCTTGTCCAAAAACCCATACTTGTGGTCTTGCCACTTCAGAGCGTGTGCATGCAACAGGAAGTAAGTGTGCAAACTTTAAAGCGCAGTGCCCATAATACACACTAAATCCACTCCGAAGCAGTACTCAAGCCTAAGTGTATCCCATCTCATATCCCCTGCATCATGTTCTGGAAATAAATTTAGACTTTTTGCAGAGATCTCGCGGACACTTTGTGGTTTAAGTTAAATATGAATAATTATATATTACATATGATTTGGTAAAAAGTGTTGCACATTTTATTGGTGCAAAGATGAGTATGTTTATTTTGTACAACATTTGGAACTGCTTTTTATCACTTAAGCACCACAGCTGCTAAATTGTGGATCTGTTATAGTGACTACTGAACAGACATTTAGAAGTTCATTTTAACAAGCGATGTATTGGAAATCAAAATAAAGCTTTGTAAACACTTGCATTTTGATAACACTATATGTGTCCCATTGGGTAATGGAAAGTTCTACACACACTTGAGGTCTTCATGCTCACTTGAACACTTATACAGGAAATACATCAAAATACAGGAGATAAGTCATGTAAGTAGACAAGTGGTCAAGTGCAAAGACCACAAGTGTGGGTATTTTGACAAGCCCTAACCTTCTGACTGTTCTCTCAACTAACCAACCAGCCAGCCAACCAATTAATATATTAGTCAATCTACCAATTAACCTACTGACCGTTTAATAAACCAGCCAACCAATCCATCACATTTTACTGTTTTAATTTACTGTATTGTGCTGTATTTAATTTTACAATTTTCACTCAATCAAACAAACAAATCAGTCAGTCTATTAATCAGTCAGTCAGCCAGCCAATTAACTTACCAGTCATTCAACCAGCCAGACAACCAACCAACCAATCAATCTGTTAGTCATTCAGTCAGTTAACCAATTAACCTACTGACCAGTCATTCAAATGTTGTCACTATTAATATTATTACATGAACTAACAATGAACAGTTCATTGTTAATTCATATGTGTTCATTAATGTAAAAGTATACTTAAAATGCTAAAATGTATATAGAAATGAACATTAACCAAAAATATTAAATACTTACAAAATACTTTAGTTCATTGTTATTTCATGTTAGTGCATTAATTATTGTTAAAGGGGTCATATGATGTTGCTAAAAAGAACATTATTTTGTGTATTTGGTGTAATGAAATGTGTTTATGCGGTTTAAGGTTCAAAAAACACATTATTTTCCACACACTGTACATTATTGTTTCTCCTCTATGCCCCGCCTTTCTGAAACACGTCGATTTTTACAAAGCTCATCGGTCTGAAAAGCAAGGTGTGCTGTGATTGGCCAGCTATCCAATGCGTTGTGATTGGCTGAATACCTCAAGCATGTGACGGAAATGTTACGCCCCTTACCATACTGTTGAGAGACACTGCCGTGTCCGGCCGGAGCGATGATTCAAAAACATTAAAACCCATTATAAACGAGGCATTTGTTGCATCCAGTGGGGACATAATTACGGATTATAATGACTTATACTAAATTTAAATCGCATCATATGACCCCTTTAACATATAGAGCATTATTGTGAAGTGATATCAGATTGCTTAACTATTTTGTATGTTATCTGCTTCAAAACAAAATGTGTTTTTCACTCATATCCAGTCAGCACATTAGAAAAGCTCAGCAGGAATGTCTGAGTCACTGGTATATGTGCTGTTCAATTCTCCATCAGTTGTATTGTCATACTAATATAAATGATTATTTATGATCTCTCAAGTCATGTTGTGAGGTTCGCTCATGCGTGATCCAAAGCCAACCGCATTTACAGATTTCAGTTCTGTGGACGCAGCAGTATATTTCAGTTGTGGGGCTTTTCATTATTTTCCCTTACATCTGAAATGCTCATGTTTTGATTTTTAACCGTGCTGAAATAGCAAAAGATTTCCTTCCACTCCATTAACCTCCATCCCGCTTCTGTGAGCCCGATTCATTTCAGCCAAACCATTTTCCCCCTGTGTGCACACTCGATCTGAATTAATCAATCTGAATTACCTCAGGGCAAGAATCAATCATGACAAACACACAAAGGACAAGTGAGCAGTTTCAGCTTCACACTGTTCAATACTGTCTGTTCAATTAATTTGTCCCAGCATGCTGTTTAACACCTTCTGTCCTGCAATGATCTACACAGCGAATTTAGTGAACAACAAACAGATGCGCTAATGATACAGCAAACAATTTCTGCGAGCTACAATGATAGATCAGAATGCTTGTGCCAATTCAATATTGTTTTATAAAGCTAAACCTCATAAAGAGAGATACTATCGCCGGATGATGTCTTTATGGCCCCTGCTGTTCTACAATTTATTCAACAGCCAGCAAATCCATCTTCGCAATAAAATAAAAGCTGATATGTGTCCTGATGTACATGAATGACCGTTGATAGAAGCGCATACAGTGAAGCGTTTGATTCAGATGCGTGTGGCGCTCGCCTCTCTCTCTGTGAGCCGTCAGACAGAGACTGAACTCTGGATAATGAAGCTTGTCTGAGAGATCAGCCTGTCACTTTAGAACAAAATCTCATTAGTTTTAAGAGACCTCTCCGTGTGGCGTGTGATCCCATTTCCTTCACTGAGAGAGAGAGAGAGAGAGAGAGGGAGGAAAGACAGCAGGAGAATGTATTAGCATTTTAGCAGTAGGCCTATGCGGTTCTGGAGCTGTGGCGTAACGGTTAGCTTGTGCGAACGCACACACACATACACACACACATATGTATGTACAGTATGTATGTATCAGCTTTGCATAAACTACATTTTAGCATATATTCAAATATTAAAATAACATATTAAAACAGAAAGTAATTATTTTATATTAGAATAATATTTGAAATCAGTGAAATTTTAGTATAAATTAACAGTTTTTATTATTATTTAGATTTTTTTGCCATTTTCATTATTGTCTTCATATGTCTGTATAGTTTTGATTAAACTATACAGACATATATATATATATATATTTTTTATAGTTTTGTTTATAGTTTTATAGTTAAGTTTTAGTTTTACGTATCTTATTACATACAGTTTAAATTAATTACTAAATTAAAATGGCAAATAAAAATCTAGAGAATATATATACATATATATATATATATTTTATTTCAGGTAATGAACAAGTTTTTCTATGGTTTTAGATTTAATTTTAGTTTTTGTTAACTAATACTAACAATATTAGTGATTTTGAATAATTTTCTTAGTTAACAATTTTAGTTAAGGTTTGAGTAATTTTGTAATTTTGTGGTGTTTTTATCATTTTTACTATGTGTGTGTGTGTGTGTGTGTGTGTGTGTGTGTGTGTGTGTGTGTGTGTGTGAGTGTGTGTGTGTGAGAGTGTGTGTTTTTCATGAAATAAAACTTTTGAATGGTAACAAATAAATAATTAATAAATAATTTTATTTTAAAGAATTTCATGTGAGGCTTTCTTATGATATCAGGACACTTTATATACCCACCCATCATATTTAACTTTGAACCCCCAAGATCTCAAATTTAAAATGGTAAAATATGGTAACCACACTCTTACTCCTTGCGGAAAGCCTTATGTACCTAACTAAAATTTTGAATTTACGCAATTTAATTTAAAAACCATAATATTTAATCATCTGACTCCCAATGGACATTTCAGTTCTGCAGAAAACTGCAGCACTTTCTTTAGCTGCAGAATCAGTGTGGGCCTGCTTATGCCTTTATCTCTGTCTGGTCCCGTCTCTTTCGCTCTATCCTAGCCCGTTTTCCTAATTGCATGCTCCATCACGGTCTTGACACCAGCAGCAGATTTCTCCCAATCTCTCATCTCCTGATATCTCTCTCCGGTCACAAACCGCTAGGCCTCAGGGCATAATGGGAAAAGTCTCCTAATTCATAGACCCTGCTAATCTTTGAATAAAAGTTTAGCAATTTTTGAAAAAGCTCTTTGTTGCCAAGTTTTGCCGGAGATGTTCGCAGCATGCCGAGGATGTGACAGAGCGGATAAAGCTGGAGACGTAGAGGGATCAGTAAAGTGCCATGCCGCTAATGTATGTATCATGCAGAGGCTGCGGCTGGCATGCATAATTAGCTGTGATGTTCTTCAGTCGCGGAACAGGAAGTAGGCCAGGGCCTGCCAATAATAACCGTGCCTTGTGAATCAGAAGAAAATCTTCTTTTCTTTCAAATCACTTGTCTGGTTTTCATTTTCAGGGTTTTCGACAATCAACATGTTCCGACCATCCCATGTGACTTTGCATCTTTTCGACGGATGTGTTCATCGCCCTCTTCGTCTTCCGCAGCCCTGCGGCAAAGCAGAGAAAAACCTCAGAGCAGACACAAGTCCAGGAGCAGAGGAATCCAGCGTAAGATGCACTGACATCTTTCAAAGCTCAAGATAAAGACCAAATAAAGACCAAAATTGAAGTTTTAGCATATATAAAATTAAAATATACCACTTTTCCAAGAAAAAGGGACTGAATATATTAATGACATGTCTCACATTAGGGGGACTGTCCAAATATTTATCCAAAAAAATGCTCTCAAAAACTGAATTTGGCTATTAATAGCAATTATTACACGGCTCTGTGGAATATTTGATTCTGATTGGTCAATCGCGCCATCCAGCGGTATGTTATTCCCAGATAACAACCGCCAAATTGAATAACACACCGCTCATCCGGGTACTACGAGTTATCTTGTAGGTACTACTTAAGTGCTTAACGAGTCACTCCGCTATCGTTGACTGTCTGGCGCCATCTTGTGACTGAAAACACTTAACCACCGCGCGTTACAATGGAAGACTTCAGCATTAATTTCAACATATATGGTAAAAACAAATCTTTTTAGCCGTTTAATAAGCGGGATAATGTACATCCAGCCGGTTGTTATCTCAGAATAAGCCCCTTCAGGCTGATACAAGACCCCTCCACTTCATGTCGGGTTTCTGATCACCCTGTCGGGGTTTATTCTGAGATAACAACCGGCTGGATATACATTATCCCTTACATAGCAAGTTATGGTTTTGCTGGGCTGCATAACGGTTATGCACCATTCCAATTTCCTGTTTTGATAGAAAATCCACAGCGTCTACAATGGCCACAATTGTTGCGACATAACATGACAAAAATCAAAGAAAACTTTTTATTTATTTATTTTTTTACATTGTTCAGGGAACAGGTTTTTTTTCTGAAACATTTTAGTTGGACATTTTTCTTTTTTTGTTTTTTTTTTAATGCAACTACTTGTTTTAGAATGTTTAGAGTAACATTCCCGAAATTTTTAAACGAATGTTTGCATCACCAAGAAAAACTATATTTTTAAAGCATTTTTAGAAATTGACGTTTTGAATGTTCTAAGAACATTCAGAAATAACTTTTCCATAACTCACTGGGAATGTGAGCAAAACTTTGGTAGAACATATTGTCCAGTCCAGTTGGGAAACCTGTTTGGACACAATTGTAATTTTTCATTTGTTACAGTTTGTTTTACAAACAATACACTTTAAAATGTAGACAGCCTCGAGCTGTTGCAATGACCGATATGTGACAAGGTCAAGCCCCTTCGTAGAAACATATTTGTCCAACCAGTGACAGATGGGGAGCAGGACAGAATAGAACAGTTAGGAAACCCATTTGGAAACAATTGTTATTTTGTCATTTTAAAATGTAGACAGCCTCAAGCTAATGCAACACGACAGTGGTTAAGCCCAGTTTAGACACATTTTTGCTCAACCAATTACAGATGGGAGGCGGGACACAAAGACCAGTCGGGAAACCTGTTTGGAAACAGTTACTTTTAGCTTGTTATAGTTTGTTTTATTAATTACACATTGTAAAATGTAGCCTCAAGCTTTTTCAGCTCCAAGTAATTCAACAGTCGTGCACAGTGTTGACACAATATAATGGTACAGTCACATTAGCCAAATTTCAACAAAATTTTGCATGCAGTAGGTCCATTGGATACTGTAAATCAGGGGTGCCCAAACTCGGTCCCGGAGGGCCGATGTCCTGCAGAGTTTAGCTCCAACCCCAATTAGACACACCTGAACCAGCTAATCAAGCTCTTACTAGGCATACTAGAAACTTCCCGGCAGGTGTGTTGAGGCAAGTTGGAGCTAAACTCTGCAGGACACCGGCCCTCCAGGACCGAGTTTGGGCATCCCTGCTGTAAATGGTGTAGCAATGAATACTTTCAAATCTTTTTCGCCTACACATGAAACTCACGACTATGCGGATTCCTATTGAAATGATTGGATTTCGTCTGTGAAATTTCCCTAATAAACATTAAAAGAATAGAGTTATAAACTGAATAAATTTGACACTGCTGTGCAAATTAAAGTTAAACTGTCAGTATGTTTATAAACAAGCTGCCTGAGCAATTTTAAGGTAACTCTATCGCCCCCTTGAGTCCTGGAGTTTGTCACAGTGCGAAAGCATATTATATAGAAAGGTACAGTGTTGCAATGCATTAGCATTGATGTTTGCATTTGCGTCTCATGGTAAATATCAGCATCGCTTTTACAGTCTTTTGTACAATTAGATTGTGTTTTGGTGAAAGTTGCTCATATAATCATGTTTTGGTGAGCGTCTATAACTACGTGCATGCATGCACCTCTGCTGACGAACTCCAGATGGTTTCTTCATTAAAATCCTCCCTCCGCTATAGAACTACTCCCTCAGTAATCAAACCTAGCCTATCACCAAAAGCAATTATAGCAAATTAATAGTGCGTGAACAATAAGAAGCGTTTATAGTGCTTTATTACAAGCCCTAATAGTTTTTACTGCCAGCAGATCACAGTAGAATGAGTTTGCCTTTGTAGCTGGGAGGTCAAACCGCTTTTTAATGGCTGGTGCTGAGCTGGAATGGGATTTTTTTATCCAGCTGGGATTGGAGGGGTGTTTGAGTGGTGTTAACATGCTGCGGAAAAGTGGTCCAATCTAAGTTTCCATCATTAGAGACATTAGATTAGAAGAGTTGCTTATATCGGGGCTTCCTTATTTGTCTCTTGGAAGTCCGACAATTTAACTTTTTGGCTGAGGTAAGCTGAAATATAACAGTTTTTATGCTATACTATGCTTAAAATGGTGCAAGCACTCAAACTGTGGCTCAACCAATGATGTGAGTTTGGGGAGGGGCTACATGTTTGTCCAACCAATGACAGATGGAGGGTGGGGCATAAAAAAAGAGTTGGGAAACTTGATTGGATTTTTGCAGTTCATTTGGTGCTGCTACTTGCACAGAAATGACATGCTTTATCACAAAAAAACACTATTTTTTGTGCACTAACTGCTAGGCTACATCTCAGATGTCTTTACATCTTTATTTAAAGCTGCAGTGTGTCATTTCTGCTTCACTAGTGGTGGCAAATTGAAATGCAATATGTTTGTTAATACTGTCTCAATTAGTTAGTCGCTAGTGTTGCTGAACATAACATTAATGCTCGCTAACCTCCTTCTCTCTGCAGTGAGAATGGAGGAGCTGATGTGCATTAAGAAAGAACTGACAGTGATTAAATCACAGATAGACGAGCTGCTGGACAGTCTGGAGCGGATGGACCCTCAAAGCCAAGAGCTGGCCGGTAAAACGCTCCTTCTTTCATCATCAGATGCACCTTGCAAAGGTGGATTATGAACCAGGCCAGTGGGGTCTCCGACTGTCTCATATTTGTGATGTTATTTGTCATTATTTGGACATTACGTCTCACATTTTGTGCAAGTGGGGCCTCTGAAGTGGGTGTTGCTTCAGGGCCTTGGCAGCTTTTCTGTCCTTGATCTTCAGTTTTATGTCATTTAGTGTGTGTGTGTGTGTGTGTGTGTGAATCTCAGGAGACGGTGTGGCGTTCTCTCCGCTCCATGGCTCTGTGAGCAGTGCGGATGATTCGTCTGGTAACTCTCCTCCCCTGAGGACAGACAGAGACACACAGAGCCCACAGACAGCAGACAGCAATGATGAAAACAGACAGCATGTAAACACACACACACACACACACACACACACAATGGCTAATGCTCAACTCTTACTCAAACACTTAGGAACAATGTGATTAATGTAATCATGAGACCAGATTAAATCAATCATATACCCATAAATTAAGTCTGCATTTTTACAAATTTACTGTCAAATTTTCATAGTTAAAGAAATTGTGGCCACTGTCAAACGTAGTGAAGTTAAACATTCTGAAGATTGTGAAGCTTCTTACTATTACTGAAGGACATATATATAACATATTTTAGAAGCATTAAGAGTTTTTGAATGCATTTTTAATTCATCTGAATTTTTTCAGATTTTTTTCTTTTTGTAATTTCTAATTAAGTAATGTGTATGGATATTTATTGACATTTAGGTTTTATACACACACACACACACACACACATATATATATATATATATATACACTTTACAATTCAGTCAAAAATGCTGTTATTGTTATTTTTGTGTTACTTATTGAGAATTACATTTTTCACATTACTTTTATAAGAACCACATTTTTGTGCATTACAGTTGTCATTCTTATAATTGTGAAATGAAATGAGAGGTTATTGACAACAATTCAGTCAAAAATGCTGTTATTGTTATTTTTATGTTACTTATTGAGAATTACATTTTTCACATTACTTTTATAAGAACCACATTTTTGTGCATTACAGTTGTCATTCTTATAATTGTGAAATGAAATGAGAGGTTATTGACAGGTTTCTTGTAATAATTATGGCATTTTGATGTAAACTGTGGTTATCATGATGAATTTAAATTAAATGTAGATTTTGAATCAGGCTTACAAAGCAAAATGTTTATTGTTATTGACTGATTGATTGAATAAAACATATTTCAACAATATTACAGGATATTAAAAAATGGTATAATGCTATAAAATGTTTGCTGTTTTACAGTCTATCCATGACACTTATCCATGCATGTGTTTTCTAGGTTAATTACTATGAATCAGATATGCTCTACATGTAAAGACAGGTTTCAGGTAAGTTGGAACCTGTAACTTTTTTTTTCTTTCTTTTTTTATAAACTGCCAAACTGTTGTTCCCCTCTAAATGTTCTGTTGCTCTTTCTCACAGATTCCAAATTCAGATACCAAGTTTTGGGTAAAAGTCACAGGATCTCTAACGATGATCTAAAGAAAGCGATCAGGAAATATATTTGGATCAGTTCCAGATATCCAGATCTGTTGAAACTGTCATCATGTAAAGTGAACATGAATCCGGTTTGAATCCAGTTGTGGAGCAGCTGTTTAAACAGACCAGAAAATACTGAAATATGTGTCGTCAAAAGCTGCTGCTGATTTTATGAATTATATGAACACAAGCTGTTTTTTCCATGATTTCAGTCAGTAAAACACTGATACGACTCGAGATCAGGATAAAATTAAAGCACACACACACACACACACACTTGTTATTGCAAATATCCTACATAAATTATATTATGGTTCTACACAACAGCTCAACTGATATGGGTTATTAAATGGCTGATGCTAATAATGATATCTATATCAACTGATAGAAAAAAATGTTCAATTATGTATATTTATGAGCCAAACATGAGATTTAAGATGTGCATAACCACTTATTTTAACCCAAATGTCATTCAAATTCACAAAATGTGTAATAATTGCTACAATTTTGGAATTGGCACAATGACTATCATCTACCTCTGTTGTTGGTGTTTGGTCAGTGCAAGTGATATTTCCCCATTAATCTCTCGCTCTGGCCAGTTTAGTTTTATGACTAGATTTACTGTATGATAAGGATATGTCTTTTTCTTCATGTGAAAATGTAGTCGAGTTTTTTGAAGTAAGTCATAAAATAGTGATTTCCTGCTGATACTTTTTTGCAATACATTACTGTGGTTATGTAAAATATTGTGGAATGCTGTTTTGTTTGTATCACTTTGTCAATTGCATTGTGAATGTATTCACCAACAGAAATAAAAACACATTCATGTACAGTATGTTGATATAGAGACTCAAATGGTTTTTGTCCAAATATAATGTTACGGACAGAATTGTAATAAAAGTGTTAAAAGTCATTATCTATACAATCACCAGGGTTTTGAATCAGCACTTTAGGGGAGATGATTAAACTTCTATTTTCATGACATTTTAACTATTAGCTACTTGTTGACTAATGATCTGTTAAGCAATGCATAATGTAATGATGTTAGTTAATGTTCTTAAAGAAAACATTGCTTTTCTTTTTTTAAATAATAATGAGGGTCTCTGGGTCTGAAAACCATTGATCCATATGATTCAAACTGGTGCTGTTGTGTCATTCTGACTAACAGTTACCTTAGTGTATTATTATCCTTATTATCACACATGTAAAGAACCAAATCAAACAAGTTTCTAGAGCTCAAAGTGCATCTGTCCTCAAACAGCATCTGTGTGCTTACGCTGGTTTGTTTTGTTGATGAACTCATTGAAACTAATCAAACAGCGAGTCCGGATCAAACGGAGCACAGCCAGAGGACACTGGATTCTTAACAGGTAAGACCTTAACATCTTCTCTTACACACCCTTTCAATAGTTTAGTTAGAAGTTGGTGTTCATTGTACAAGTTTAAAATTAATGTTGTCAGGTGTCTGTATTTTTTTTTTTTATCGACTAGTATTGTTTTTGAGGGGTTTTGAATAATCCTTTAGTGAATTAATACTTTCTGACTTGAAAGAATCAGATGGGGCCACTTTTTTTGAGGATACCTCTCTTTAAAATGATTATTTCTCTATGTGTTTTAAGGTTTACAGCTATGGGTCCTTCAGTGAAAAGCAGCAGTCCCATCACTACACACGTGCTGAACACCGGGGACTGGGTCCCAGCGGCAAGAGTGGCCCTCAGTCTACATCGCCTGGACCCCCGCATGGCCATCTGGAGCCTCATAACTATCGGCTGGGTACACAGTTATTGATCAAAGCTGAAGTGTGTCATTTTTGGATGTTTTTAAACATCTCGACCAGCCTGACAAAGAAACACTGACTCAACCAATGATCAATAATGTGTCTTACATTATTTTATTCTTATTTATTGCTGGTTTTATGGGTCAGGAAGTTGTGTAGTAGCGGTTGATCTGTTGTGCACTGTGACTTTTGATATACTGTCTGCATGCTTTGCCCCCGTTTAGTATGCTTCATATGTGATTTATGTGCTTATTTATATGTGTATATGCAGCATACACTAAGCCCAAGAAAAATGTCCCCTAAGGGGACAATAAAGTATATCGTATCGTATCGTATCGTAATGATGTGAGTTTGGGGCAGGACTATCTGTTTGGCCAACCAATGAGAGATTTATTTTTTATTTTTAATCTAATTTAAAACAGCCACTGAACAGTCATGCAATTAATAATGATTAAACAAAAGTACGTTATTGTTTCTGTTGTCATTCCGAAAACTGTTACCTACCGTCCAAATTTTGGGTCAAATTTTAAGAGGTTTATAATTGAAACCCTGGAAATGTGCTATTATGTTAAATACTGTGCCATTGATTATTTCAGGAACACAATTGAGGAAGGACTAATAACCAGCGATGGCTTCACTCCGGGAATGTACAAGATCCGCTTTGAGACGGACCAGTACTGGGAGTTTGGAACAGTCCAGCTTTTACCCATATGTTGAGGTTTGTAAGAAAGAATAGTAGCGAGCTGATGTAGGAGAGATTGTATTTACGCAGTCTGAATATCAGACATGATAGTAATGTCACTGACCTCTCTTCACTGTTAGTGATGCTGATCAGAGCTTTCATGTGCCACTGCTGGTCAGCAGATACTCATACAGCACCTACAGAGGGAGCTAGTGAGCAGCCAACGAAACAGAAACACTGGACTCACCAAACAGTGTTTGCATGTCAAGACTTTCTCAAAAAATGTTTCATGATTGTGATGAGTCCAAGAAATCTCCTCAAGCAGCAGCTTTCAACTTAAAACGACACCCCAGCACAATTTTCTGAATGCTGTCATGCTGCTGTATGTTCATTATTTTTTAGAATGATCAAAAACTTAGGATTTTTACAACTGTCACAAAGTTCTTAAAATACTTTAAAAAAAATTTAAAAATCCTTTTATTTAATTCTATATTTGTCAAGCTTTCTCAAATACATTTTTAAATATTCTTGATTTATCTTAAAGGGGTGATATGATGCTGCTAAAAAGAACATTATTTGGTGTATTTTGTGTAACCCAGACAAACTAATAACAGAATTACCTAACCTTCCACAGTTTGCATACAGGAATACATTTATAAACCACAAGAAACAAATGAACGCAGTTATTGGGGAAATATTGCCCCACATATTTATTTATGCAAATTTCAAAACATGATTCATGGTTCAGCACACAACACAAATACTCACTTCTCAAGGGTTAAATCTAATACCAGCTTATCCTCAGTCACAGACAACTGAACACTGGTTGGTCGTAGAGAGACGTAAAAGTTACATTAGTTATTTAAACATATTCCACAAGCCAATAATATATAGTTCAGTCATGAAACTCTAGATGGCGCATTCTGACGGGGTGTTAACGTAACTGATGATATTCAGAGAGTTAAACGACTTGGCACAAGCTGATTGGTTCATGCTGCATATGCAGCCAATGAGCTTGCTGCCTTGCATTTATCTGGCTGGCTAGCATTCACTAGAGATTCCTGCAGCGCGCTTTCAGAGTTCTCTGAAACCCTCCACCTTCCCCAGCTCCACCTGTATAGATCTGCTACGGGTTATTTTATATGCTATTTGTGCAGCAGTGTTCCGCCAAGACCAAATACATTAACACTGTCATATCTATCACCATGCTAAAATCTTATGAGAGTTGTCATGATTGAATTGAATTTAAACAAATTAATCTGTACAAAAGTTTGCATAACCTTGGTTCTTAGTATTGTTTTCCTTAAAGGTAGGGTATGTAATTTTTCAAAAACACTTTAGAAAACTGATTCGGGCCGAATAGCAAAACAAACTTGTAGCCAATCAGCAATAAGGGGCATGTCTACTCGTGATGCGGAGGAGAGAGCTTTCAGTGCAGGGGACAGACATTAGCCGAGCCGAGCGACAGAAAGATAGAGATGGTGGATAAAAAAGATTTGTTGCGCCGCGCCGCTCGTGTCCTGTGTAGACACGGTGTAACATTGGTTTTGCTTTGTTTCACAGAACTAATCGTTGCCTGGGTTGCGTACATATGTGTGGGGCGGAGCTATCAAAATAGGGGCAAGACCCTTTTGGGGTAGGGGCGTGTTTGTTTTGGTGATTTCAAATATCAACATTGGCTACCAGAAATTACTTACCCCACCTTTAATGATCAGTGACTCTTGATTGTCTCTTGTTGCAGTGAAGCTGCTCACTGTTAATTAGAAAGTTAATTCTTCCCAGCAGTGGCTATATACTGTATGATTTTCAGATTCAACTTTGACACTTATAAAAATTGAGGGAATTATATGTGATTATTACAAACATTCATTGCCTGCAAACATTAATTTGATGCTCAATAAGATAACACACTATTAAGAACCAAGAAGATGAAAATGTTTGAAGACGATTTGTCTAAATTTTCCAAAATTACTGTAACGTACCTTTGCAGTGCTATAAATTCAAATGGCCTTTGTAATATATACTGTATATATAGTAAGAAAAACAGAGTGTTTTCAGTTCTGCCTTCATACGAAATCTTTATCTGAAAGAGAAAATTGTCTTTTTCTACCTGACTCTAGAATGCCGTTTTAGCCTCACCATTAAAACAAACAGAAAGATTATGTTTTGATGTCTGATTATAATTATGAGTATTATTTCAGCATGATGCTTGCCAAATACATTCAAATTAAACATCAGCAATGTCATGCCAAGACCTGCACAATATATGCATGCATGTATATAATTAATTTGGAATGTTAAAAAGAAAATCTAAAACCAGGATAAACACAATCCACTAGTAATTGTACTAATTGTGATAATTGTACTATATATGGAATATTTGATTAATAAAATGCTTCTAGCTAAAAGGGGCTTTGCTGATTGTTTGGACAAAAAGGTTGTAAAATTTAAATAATGTATCTGCTAGAAGGAGCACACTAGCATTTAGATTAACCTCAAAGCTGACGTGGACTAGAACTTTAATGTGTAAAGATATTTTGTATTGTTCATTATATTAGTAAATATGACATTTAACACAATACACACGGACAATTTGATTTGTAGGCCTAATAAAATAATATCAAACAGCTATGCCTGCTTCTAATGACTAGACGAATGGTTACAACAATATAAAAGTGCATTTTGATAGACTGGACAATGCACTTTCCCAAATATTTCATATTTTACGCAAACATAGTTAAGGCTAAACAACCAACTCATTGTTTTAAAGAAGATATGTGTGATTTATATTTGCTGCACTTTTTTATTGCAGAAAAAAAGGAACATACAAACAATATCAATACAAAATATATAAGAAACAAACAGAGCATAGCACAGATTCAATTTGAACATATAATGACATTACAAAGTTTTGATCATAGCACACGTGCATCACGGAGACGTCTATTTGACGTCTGCAATGCATTTACATCTGCAAGACGTATTTTTTAGTGTTTACTCATCTGCAATGTGTCTATTGGACGTTTCCTAGATGCCAAATAGATGTTTATTAGATGTCTTTAAGATGTTTATGATTTAGAATGTGTGTAAAACTGACATCTTCCAGATGTTTGTACACAGCAGATGCTTTCCAGATCAGTATTTTATGTATTTACATATGTATTTTACAACTCTATTTTACATATTAAACTGTAGGAAATAT